CACACACACACACACACACACACACACACACACAATGTTCTAGGTTTCAGACTCCTTTTACTAGTATGCTCTTATTTTAGCAATATAAATATGAAATTCCCTAAAATTACTAAACTTTAAAAAACAGATTGGTGGGTCAGAATTATGAAAGTTAAATGACTTAACCAAAACCTTAGTCACTGATGAAGTAGTTGTGGTCACTAGAGTCATCATACTCTGATTTCTAGTTCAGTGCCTGTATACTCCTCTTCTTGTTCTGGAGTAACAGCTGAGAGGATTATAAAGAGCCTAATTCCTATCATCTTGGTGATATGACATCCTGGATCATCAGTTTTACTTGAAGAATGGGAGTCAGTTTTGCTGAATTAAAATAGGCTTACAAATATATTATGGTGTAGAATTAAAGTCCATACAATTTGAGGAAGGGGACAAAGGGAATTGAACCCAGGGGCAGTGCCACCGTTGAGGTACATCCCAGCTCTTCTTTATTTTTTGAGACAAGGTTGTGCCAAGCTGCCCAAACTAACCTCAAACTTGTAATCTTCTTGCCTCTTGAGTAGCTGGGATTTTAGGTATTTGCCACCATACCTGGCTGTCAATCGATTTTTTTTAATGTTTATTTTTTAGTTGTAGATGGACACAATAACTTTATTTATTTTTATGTGGCACTGAGGATCGAACTCAGGGCCTCGCACGTGCTACGTGAGCACTCTACTGCAGAGCCACAACCCTAGCCCTGTCAAGTGATTTTTTTTTAAAAAAAAAAAACATTTATTTTTTAGGTGTAGATGGACACAACACAATCCCTTTATTTTTATGTGGGGCTGACGATCGAACCCAGGTCCTGCCTGTGTTAGGCCACAATCCTAGCCCCCTGTCAAAGGATTTTTAATGGTACAAAATGAGTAATTGTTTAGCAGCTGCTCAATCTCTACTCCCAGTTTCCTGGGTTATATTCCTTGCCACATAAGTGTCAAGATGCTTTTTCTTTTTTCTTTTTTTGGGGTGATGGGGGTGGGGATTGAATCCTGGGCCTTGTGTATATGCAAGGCAAGCATTCTACTAACAGAGCTATATCCCCAGCCCAAGATGCTTTTTTCTTATGAAACCTTCTTATTTTTATATCCTTGAGGTTTAAAGCGTGAGGCATGAAAAAAATATTATTACAAAGTCCACATTTCCAGCTTTTGTTAAGATCCTGGCATGTTGTCCTCTTTCAAACCAAAAGTAGAGATAATTCCACCCTGCTTTCAGGGTTCTCTGCATTAAGTGAGGCAGTGTACATGGCTTGTGTAGTAAAGTATGGCACATAATAAGTACTCAGTAAATGTTATTATTGAATGAATCAGTGACTGTTCTGTGTGGACTCATTTAATGTTGTATTCACACTGTAAATTTTATAGGAATATCCTGCATTTGGTTTATTAATTGGCAGTTTGCTACCCAAGGAGAGACAAAACATATGATGATATTCTTATCTATATGAAAAGAAATATGAGCTGGGTTTCTTAAGTAGTGGGTTAATGTAATGGTTGGTTTATAAATATTTAGAAAAGTTAGATTGCCATTTTTTGTTCTTGGTTATAGAATGAAATACTTTTTTTGTTGTTGTGATGGGGATTGAATTCGGGGCCTATGCATGTGAAGTAAGCACTCTAGCAACTGAGCTATATCCCAAGTACTGATTATAATGCTTTGTATTTATGCCACAGTAATTTTAGTTTCCCAAGTTTATGTGTATAAACTGAGGCTGAGTTGTTAGTGACAGGGCAGAGTTATACAGTAGATGGCTGAGCTACCTAGGAAAGGATCCTTTTTCATTGCTCCCTTAAGTCACACACTTTTCTACTTTCCTTCCCTACTGACTGTAGAACCCTAGAGGAATAGACTTTGCCTATTGTTGGCTACCACATTACACATTTTTATACTGCTTTAAACTCAGTGTAGTTATATGACCCTACATAGCTTAGTACTTACTGGATGAAGCCCATAGCGCGTATCAGACATTGGACAGAGCCCATGTGGTAGCATTAAGTATATTTCTAGAAAAAATCTGAGCTGGGTATCACCATTGCTATCTCTTAGAGATGTAGCACAATTCAAATGTGTTGCTGTGCTCTCTTGAGGTCTCCAGTATTTAAACTTCAAAAGAAGGTAAAGATCACAGTTTAGATTCAGTTGGCAGAAATAGATGTTTCTCTATATTAGAATTTAATTATTTTGTTATAAATACTATTTGTAATTTTATGTAAAATGTAAAGTTTTTCCCCGCTATTTCACATCATACATCTACATATGCAAGAATAAGTATCAGTAAGATAAGCCAAGAAGTGAAATAGAAAGCTATTTGCCAAGTACAAATGTAAACTTGGTTGTAATTTTTGGTATCTAGGAGTCAGTATTTTTCAAAGTAAGTTTTGATCCATTAGTGGATTCTGAGATAGATAATGGTGGGTTGTGACCACATTAAAAAAATGAGGATGGAAAACATCAGAGAATTGCTACTCATGATAAGTTTTTCTGTGAAGCTTGTTTCATTTATATATATCATGTTTTCATGAGTGCATACTGGTTTCTTCATGTGTATGTAAACTCTGAGATTTTAGTCTAAGCCATTGCTTAAATCTGGATCAAATTCAAACTTTCTTTAAATTATTTTTTTATTGGTTATTCAAAACATTACAAAGATTGCAGAATCACATCGGTTACACATCCACATTTTTACATAATGCCATAATAGTAACTGTTGAAATTCAAACTTCTTATCACCTGGATGTTTCATGGTCTCTTCGTCATTTTTACTATTACTTGCATTAAAAATCAAGCATGTGTTCTATTCATATTCTTTCTCATTGTTTGTGTGGTGTTGTTGTTCTTTTTATTTTATGTATGTAGGGTGCTAGGCAGGCACTCTACCAGTGAGCTACCTCCTCAACTCCTCAGTGTTCTTATTGTCTTCTGGGTCTAATGTTCAGAAGCTTTCATCAGACAGGTTTGTGCTATTTGTGCTTAGCTCAGTCTGCCCTTAGATTGGACAAGGTGTGTTAATTTAAGAAATCACATTCTTTTAGTCTTCATTCCTGATACCTTCACTTAGAGTTTATAGTTATGAACTAAATTCTCAGCCAGCATTTCTCATTACTTTATATTTTTACACATCTGGTCAGTTGGGACCTGACATTTCTAGGTACTCTAAGAAAGGAAACAACTGTGTGTGACTTAAGATGAAAGAAGAAAAAAGATAACTCAATTTTACTGTGTCTGTGATGCAGAGCATGATTTATTTCTTAAGGAAAAGAAAGTTTCTGTAGGAGATGGTATTTAAGATAGACTTTGAAGCATAGATAGAATTCTTAACCAGTGAAAATTAAGGCGAGTAGGAGAAGGCCCCTTCAAGTAAAGGGAAAAGCAAAATGAGGAAGTTTTAAACACATGTAGGGAGTGTGATGTATGGATAGAATTGGAATCAGTAGTACTGACCTTGGTTTCAGAAATATTTAATGTGGGGTTGTACCTAAAATATTAGATTTCACTAAAATGCACATTGGTTATATAAACTTCAGATCTGGTTCATGTGTTACATGTTAGGACATGCCTATCCTGCTGAGTGAGAAGTTATTTTTATAAAGATCATCTAACTGAAAAAAAAAACATGCGAGTTTTTAGCTATATGAAATTAATTGAATTATTATTTAGCTTTAGACGGTTTTCCTCAAAGTTGCATATAGATCTTGTGGGCTTGGGGCTGGGGTTGTAGCTCAGTGATAGAGTGCTTGCCTGGCATGTGTGAGGCGCTGGGTTTGATCCTCAGCACCACATAAAAATAAATAAAGAAAGATCATATATAGAATACTCCTGCCTGCCTTTTCTTGTTTCTGCCAAAAGTAGATTCCGCACATAGGAAAATCAGGGTTTTGGTTATGTTAATGTTTAATTTCTTTTTCTTCCTTCCTTTCTTTCTCAGTGCTTTTAATGTAAATTCAAATCTGTGGTTAAAGCATATACACATTTGGACAAACCTTTACACAGTAAAAAAAAAAAAAAAAGGTCAGTATAGATAATTTGGTTTTTCTAGACTCTTCTCTAAAGAAAATTCTTTTAGAGTTTTTTGATAAGGTAGCACATATTGAGTATCTCATCTGAGGTGCTTGGGCCTAGAAGTGTTTCAGAATTCAGAATGTTTTGGATTTTAGAATATTTGCATAGACATTACCATTTGAGCATCCCTGATCTGAAAAATCTGAAATCTTTAAAGTGCTCCAAAATTTCAGATTAAGGATGCTCAACTTAGAGTTGTTTAATATACTTCTCCCTACTGCCCTTTTATGAAATAGCTGTTTGTGTTTATAACCTTAATGCAGAAACCACATTTTTCTCTGGGATTATTCACAGGTAGCTTTAGAAATTCATGTAAGTGAAGTTGGGGTTGTGGGACACTTCTAATACAAAAGTTTCATTATTCAAGCAGATTAAATGTTACTGATGCGACATTAGATTAGACTGTTTACACTTTGTCTTTTAATTGTAACATCCCTTTTGGGTTTGTTAATGTAGATACATTGCTAAAGAATAGCTAAATGTTATTTTTATTCTGTAATAAAAAAGTTACTTCTTTTTGTTCATCTGAGTGTCTGATAAATCAAATTCTTCAAATGTAGCATCCCCATAGGATTACTAAAAGGAAAATATTTGAAAATCCTCTAGAAATTTACTCTGATAGTCTTTATATACTGATAACATTGTAGTTTTCATTTTGTTTCTTGGATAGGGTAAATTTTTATGTTTCCTAGATTTTTATGCTATAGAGAAGAGAGATCCTACACTATTAAGAAAGTGTTCCCTTTTCTACTGGCCAGTTTTATGCTAAAAGAATAGATTTGTCAGCCCGGGACTGTGGTGCATGTCTGTAATCCTAGCAGCTTGGGAGGCTGAGACAGGAGGATCTGAGAATGGATTTCTTAGAGCTTCTTTTATACCAAAACATACAGACTGGTGAGCTTTAATTAAAAGAAGAAGAAGTTTTAAAATCATATATTTCAGAATTATGAACTCGGATCTGTACTTGTGAGTTGTGATCATGGATTGTCATTTTGATAGAGAATACAAACTGTTAGCATCACATTTGAAATAAATCAAAAGAAGTCTTGCAGCATTTGCTAGTAGATGGAAACTTTTGCCTTTTCAATCATCAGAATTACTGAGCCAGCATGGAACTCAGGCCCTTGATCAGATATATTGGAGCAACTTCCCTGGTTTATACTCGGAGCTTCTCTACTAGCTACAACTATTTTGTTGACTGATTAAATTTAATGTATGCTTATAAATATAAAATTGTTTGAATTCCATTTCTTGAATTTGAGGAAAGATTGGGAAGGGGTGGGGAAAAGTTGGCTGCTTAGGTATAGATCTGTGGATTCATAGATCCTTGGGTATGGGTTTCTTGTGGAACTTCACTTAGTACCTGTCAGGAGGATTGGTCGATTACTGAGAAGTGGAAGGAATATTGATGCAGCTTAGACTTGTTAAGAAAGTACCAAGAGAAAACAATACTTGACTTTCTGTGTCTGACTTGTTTGCTGCTTTCCTTTCAGAGAGGTGTGAGAGGGATGGAGAATTTTGAGTTTCCCTTCCCATTGGAGTTTGGAGTGTGTGTGTGTCTGTTTTAAAGTAATGAGAAATTATGTGAGAGTGAATCCTTGCCTTTTCTCCTTTTTAAAATGTCTGTGGCATAGTGGGCTTTAATGCTTATGTATTAATTATGTTTTAGTGTTTGAAATGCTAATAAATTTTTAAAAATTTTTTTTTATAGGAAAGTCACCAGAGGAAAAAAAGGAAATCAGAAGCTGTAGGAACGAGTGACCAGATTGACTTGTTGGCTCTTGGTACAGCAGTTGGTAGCATTTTGTTGTACAGTACAGTAAAAGGAGAATTACATAGTAAATTAATAGTAAGTATATTTTATATAGAAAATAATGGCAAGGAAATGAATTATTAGAGATGATTGAAAAAACAATGTAATTACAGTGTACTATTCACATGAAGAAGAATGAAATCATGTCATTTGCAGAAAAATGGATGTAGCTAGAGATCAGACT